CTTTTTCTCGGAACCTCTTGATCGATCAACACAAAAGTACACTATAATGGAGCGAAATGTGGTGTACAAAACCTGGTACATTTATTTCCTTGTAGATTTGGACCATCCCATCGTATTGTGATTCACATGAAAGTGACTTCCATTAAATTTCTCGTGATTATGCATGATCTTTTAAACCAGTCCCTGGTCGTATACAGTGCGGATCGTATGATCGCTAGGGTATTTCGAAAAAACAAGGACGAGCGGGACAATTATGTCGAAACTTCTCTTTAATTTAGTGAGTAAGATTTATTCCAGCTTTGTTCAATGGAGACGCGGTGGCCTCATGATTAGTGCGCTCGTCTCCGGATCGAGCGTCTGGGTTCAAGCCCTGGAAGGGGACATTGTGTTGTGTTCTTGGGCAAGACACTTTACTCTCACAGTGCCTCTCTCCACCCAGGTGTATACCTGGGTACCGGCGAATTTGATGCTGGGGTTAACCCTGCGAAGTACTGGCATCCTATCCAGGGGGTGTAGAAATACTCCTAGTCACTTCATGCTACATAAATCGGGATAAGCTACGGCCTGACGGGTCACGTGGCTCTTATGCAGACTTAGCCTTTACCTGCTCAAATCTAGACTTTCTTGTCCATGGTACGATGCAACATACTCCCTGGTCAATTTGAATATCTGGCTTGCATGCTGGGGTGTGAAGATGAAAATTCTTCAACCGATGAACATGGAAAATGTAATGCTCACTTTAATTTACAGGCATTGTGGCCGATTTGGGGGGAAGGAGGAGAACGTGCGTGTTTTGATATTTCACAGTCTCACCCCTCGCACGGTATGAGATATTTTATCAACTATTTAGCAACCGTCAAGGTCTCACGAGATTATTATGAAGGGATCCCACTTAAGAATAACTTTCCTAGTGCGTAAATCCTGGCAAAGACACCTTATCTTTATCTTTTCACAAGAATTGTTTTTTTTCAGCTGACTAACATAGATTACAATCAAGTTAGGTAACTGCCGATTAAAATCGTCTAAAAAAAGGTCAATATTGCTTGTCTGTGTCAAGTCAAGTCTGTGCTTTGAATAGCTTGTTACAATCCTATTGAAGGTCTCTCGTTTATAGTTTCTCACGCATTTGATTTTTGTTATCTTTTTCTAGAGGAAGTCTATAAACAAGCGATAGAAATGATTTGAAAGTTTAGCTGGTTACCTCTTTCAGTTTTGATTACGATGTCAGTAATACAAACACCCTGGAAATCACAACTGAAAATTGGTTTTCAGCGATGAAAGAAAAAACGAAATCATCCAAATAGCAAAAATATAATCTCACTAAACAAATAAAGCTCTGTCGCAAAAAAAATAACTTCCACGGAATTTTCAACCTGAATGTACGATAGCAACTCGATTCTCGCCGCGATCACAGTTTCAATGGAAATCAATGCTTCAAGGACGACGAGTGTCGGCTAAGACTACAGTTCCATAGATGTTCAAAGTCTTTGTATCAATCGATCCTCCTCGGTTTTCTTTCACGGATGGATTTAAGGGGAAGGGTACATTGGAAGAGCTATCAATGAAAAAATGAAAGGTTATGAATATTTTGGCGGAAATAAAGGGGAACACTCTGGGCTGGGTTGTTCAAAAGTCGGTTAACGCTAACCCAGGATTAAACGTTAACTGAAGTATAATGTTTTCTTGTTTAAAAATGTTTTTCACCTCTTATATTTGGTGTAGTTTGAGATTACTACAGCTCAAAACTGAAGGGCAAACAATATAAACAGAAACACATCCGTGACCAAAAAGTTACAAAACCGCAATCAAAATTCTCGTTAATCCTGGGTTAGCTTAATCGGGCTTTGAACAACCCAGCCCAGGACAGATACTTCGTGATAGTGCTAGTCTTTCTGGTGTGATAGTTTTCAAATAGGTTCCAACTATCAAAAAAAAAGAAAAAAAAAAGGAAGGACGCGAATGTAAGAATAGGCTAGTATTGTAATTGTGGTGTAAGTAACCAGTATTGTAAGTACCGTAAGTAAGTTATGTAACTGGCCGTATGTGACATAGTGTATTGTTATTAGTGTAAGTATGTAGTATTGTAAGTAATGTATTTTATTGTACTGTTAGAAAAAATAAAATGTCAAAAAAAAAAAGTATCAAATTGACACATTTTTGGGCAATGCCTCTTTGATTCTGGAGCCCAATAAACCATCCCCACCCCACCCCTGCACCCTTGAAAAATCTTGCATCCGCCCATGTCTTTGAAGTGTTTTCCATGGGGAGAATATCCTGGAGGTTTTTATTGGTGGGTAACTTTCAAAAAGCTGACCCATTTGTTTTCCATAAAAACGGAAAATGCGTGAATTTCGCAAAAGCTCGGCTTAAAAAAAATACACCTTCTGAGAAAAATACTGATTAGATTTAAGAAGTTTCTTTAGGTTATATGCGCGTTAGAACAAAGCTGTTCAATTTAGTTTCCGTGAAAATGAAAAATGCGTGAAAATCGCAACAGCTGCCTAAGAACAAGATACTTTCTAAGAAAACTTCTAATTCAAAGCTAGAAGTTCCTTTGTTGCTGAACTTATCACGTTCACACCCTTCGGGTGCAAAATAACACTATTATTTTTTACTTTTTCAGTCGCTAGGTAACTAGTAAACAGACTTCAAATCAAATTAAATCGCCTTTATTAATGGTACACCATTTGCAGTGCGACTACTCGAACTGGGTAAACCAGTAACATTGAAGAATACGAACAGTAGATTTTAATTGAAAACCCAACAAAGAGCGAGGTGTTGCGAACCTCTAGATCTCAGGAAACTTTGCCATTTGTTGACTGGTTAGTTTCGATTCTAAATCTTGTACCTTTTCAACGGTATCGGCTCAGTTGTTACAAATAAGCCCTTTGCAACTAAGCCATCACGTGACCTATTTTTCATAAAATTACGGGCTATAACTTAACGAAGGCCAGAAATGGAAAAAGCATGTCGAAAATATCAAATGGCCAAGTTTGAGACCCCCATCATTAAAGAATGAGATTTTATGACGGTCTGAATTTTTAAAAGAATAAGAAGATTTGTATGGAAAAAGTTCTTGGAGAGTAAGACCTTGCTCTCCAAGCCTCGAGAGATTAATGTTAATCTTGCAAAAAGTCAAGTCGCTGTTGTAAAGTGAATCGCCGCATAAACGATTTAAAGAATAAAATACATTTTATTTCGTGACCTATTTAGGTTAAATAGTGAAACTTTTATTTGGTCACCAAACAAAGCATGTCCAGAGCCTGAAGGATGCTGAACAAATAATGCTAACGAGACAATCAGGGCCACATTGGTGTGACATGTCAGGTAATTATTTCCCGTACGGCGAGCCACCAGCTGTAAATGAACATTAAAAAAAGACATGAGGACGGTGTTTGTCAATAAATCAATCATATAAAGAGGGTTAATCCAGTTTCTCGTGGCTTAAGCTAAACCAGAATTACTATTACGAGTCATCAACAGCGATTTCTGTTATTTTTCGAAGGTGACTTAGTTCTCCTTGCTAATCTCAGATTGTGACGAATTTCTAACCAAAGAAATTAAAGGGGCTCAGTCACGGTTTGCGCATATTGAAAAGTTTAGCCTCAATTTTTCAAATTCGTCGTTTGTAATCCGTGTTAATCTTCTCCATCCTTAGCCATCCTTGTCCCTTTATGGTTAATCATTATCCTTTTGGTGTTTTTCTATCTTATTAAGCTGTTACTTTCAGGTTTCCTACCATTTAAAGGTAATTTTTTACGTGGCCAAAATAACTCATAATACCGTGACTGAGCTCCTTTAAAACCATTACTTCGTGAGGGCTGGGGATCCCCGTGCGAAGGGGGGAGGGCATGTTCCCTTGATCACTAAAAAATTCACCTTTTCTCCCTTGTTCCCTATTAATAAATTCCATCGTTCCCTGAAAAAATTTTTGTCAAGGTTTCCATTAATTGTAGAGATACCCCCTGTTCCCTCAAATTGATCTCAAAATATCCCTTGTTAATTTGAAATAAATGATCATCTTCCCTTGTTCCCTAAAACCCCTGGGAGGCCCTCAAAAATTAAAACCATAACTTCATGAGGGGTGGGGATCCCCGTGTGAAGAGGGGAGGGGAGGGGATGCTTGCCTCTCTTTAAGTGGCGCAGGTTGTAGCTCTGTTGTCACTAAGTACTTTTAGGAAGAAGTTCCAGTGTTTTTACCCTTCAAGGTGTCTCCTTGTTTACACGAGATGCCGTAGTTTTGATCGGTTAGACGTCCAATCGTACCTTATCTTGAAAATATTTTCGTACACGAAAGAACTCGAAGAAGACATCTTTACAGTCATTCAAATTATAACTACAGCTCTTGTTTGTGCGTCTGTTTTAGGGTAGTATCTTTATGGTCTCTAATTAAGCTTAAGCGACGCCCAAACTAATTATGTAATTTGTGATAATCGGTATTGACACAAATCAATATTTAGCCGACACGAAACAGAGAACTGGGTGCTAGCATAGTACGCAAAGGCTCATGGTGAGTACGTTTGTAAAAAGAGACGGTTCAGAAACTTGCATTGTGACATTCTACGGTCAGCCTTGTCACTAGCACTTTCGCATAAGGTTTATGTTTTTTATTGTGTAAATAACTAACGTTGTCTGATTTATCCTTCATTCTGTCGTTTATATATCAACCTTAAAACCCCAAAGGCGGTGCCACTGCAATTGGTTGGGGGTACACGGTCCCTATTTTTCCTAATAATAGATTTCTGGGGTTTACGTGTCCGTCGGCTTTGGTGCACGTGGTATGTTATTTGATGAATTTAGTACCCACTTTGTTGTAAGCTTATTGTCACAATTAAAACACATCTTGGGCCTAGCTGACCAGCGCCCCCATTTCTCAACCTTTGAGTGTGTTCGGGTATGTAGTGAAGGCAAAATAGTTTTATTTTCACAACAGATGATTATATTCTTGTCTTGGAGATATGACCGACAGTGGAACAAGATATCTGAACTGTTATACTCACGCTTCATCCCGCCAGAAGGATACGGGTGTTTATCTCCCTGACCGAAGCATTTGAAAGGTTTGCCTAATCATAAAATGAGAAAAAAAACACACACACACGCCAAAAGTGACAATGAAATTGCGTATTACATAGAGCCAACGGTTTGCAGTCAAACCAAGTGAAGCGTACCCCATTCATTGTTACATTTATATAATGAATTGACTATTTGAATATTGAACCCGTTAGCCGTTTTCTTGGAACAACTAGCGGGTCCAATTAATAGTCAAATAATCAATTCATTAATGAAATCTTTAAAAGAGGTATGCTTCACTTGGTTTGACTGAAATGTTTTTCGCCACATACCAAGCAATACTTTTCATCTCGTATTGGGTTTAAGGTTATGGTTAGGGAATAGTTATGGAACAGTGTGATGTAAATTACATGGTTGGAAAAATCAAACAAACATTGATTGATTGATTGATTCATTCATTCATTCATTCATTCATTCGTTCATTCATTCATTCATTCATCAAGATTCATTGATTTGTTCCTTCATACAATCACTCACGTCATAGTTCGCGAATAAGGTCGCCCCAGTCTACTCACTTCCGCTCTTAATTCCTTTGAACTGCACTCCGCTTGGAAAACTGACGTCATTTTTGATTTCACCAATAGTGGTATCTACCTGTTCACCAGTGATGGAGGTCAAGCGAACGCGAAGAGGAATTGAGAATTTACCCAGCCCCGAGCCGACGAAAAAGTTGTCGCTGACACGAGTCAAGCAGTGGTACTTGTCTTTGACAATAACTTCTATTCCGGCTGTCGGCACTCTTGAAAAGGAAACAAATTGATAAATGAGAAGCCTGTAGGTTTTACCGCCTAGAGTATGAAATCTAAATTCTCATCACTGATGATGACATGCATTTCTAATAGTGTTAGTTTTGAGAATTTTAAGACAAATTTCGAACCCCTGTTGTGTTTTGGGTAAAAAAAAAAGAAATCACAGAAGGAAGAAAAGCCGGCAGGGCAAGCAAAACAAAACCGCCCCCCTTAGCTCAAAGTCTGGATCCGCCACTGGTTCTTTCTGTAGTATTTTCCCACCAGTAGAATTAGCAGTTTACCCTAACAATTCGCAACGCTAATATAAACTGTCTATAGTAGTTAAAGTTAAGTTTCATCAACAATGAAGGGAACAAAAACGTCTAACTTGGTGTTTCTGGCCTGTAGTTTGATGTACCAAGGGTTGCTTCCTTGGAAACGAAACTGTATTTTTCCATTGGCTCCTGGAATGGTTGGGCAATCGATGGCTTTGTAATCAATCTTCCATCGGCCGTCACCGGGTGTGTAGAAATCGATTCCGGCTAAAATAAATTGTTTTAATGAGTATCATTAATTACCCTTAACCAACTGTTCTTGGCTTTCTTTTGAGCTTTTTCACCCGCAAACGTGAAATAGACAATACTGTCTCAGATACAAAACGTGTAAATTAGGTTTCAGAGCACAATTTCTAACACAAAGAGATTTCAAGGGAATTCGTTCCTATAGCTACAAATCCTGTTTAATTGGAGCGATATTAATAGTGCTTTTGAGCCTCCTAATGCCGAGCAAAAAATCTAAATGAAATAACAATACTTATCAAAGATGGAACAGCGTGACCCATTTGAATCTCCAATCTCCAAACTCAACGCCTTGATTTTGAAGAAAATTAACTATTCACGTAATCAGAAACACGACAAAAACATTCCACACGAAAACAACATCCAACAGATTCGATCTTACTTTGTCCACAGCCACCCGCGCATAAATCAACTATCACAGTCTTTCTTTTCCCTTTGATGGGGTCAAGTCCGCTGCCTTCGCCCTTGCCGGTGATCTCCAGACACATGCCACACCCAAGTGACTGCTGAAAGGTACCCGGCCCGGCAGCAACGCGAATCCAGTTGTCTTGAGTGGCCATCGGTGACAGCGGATCGAGGGTACATTTACCCCCTCCTGGGTAGGTACCGTAGTATGTGCCCTGAATGACATCGTAGCGGTTGATAATACACGTTGGTGATCAAGACAAATATTTAAAATAAATCGCGTGACTTGTCACGCTTCGTCCAAATCATATTTATAGAGGGAAATGGTTGAGAAGCCCGGAAAACGTCAAAGAAGCAGAAAAGAGGCTAAGATTTATGTTGCTAGGCCCTTGACCCTGCACATCTTTTGTTTTATGCTCATTGACTATGCATGAGTTACATGAATCGCAGTGCTTCTATTGGTTAGTTGTGAGCACACAAAGTCACCCTATGTATTTTGCCAAGTTTTGTGCAGGGTCAACCTCCAAAATAGCCAGCAAAGACATGCAACAAAGAACTTTGTCGTGTTTCTGAACCATTTCCCTCTATTAAGGATGTCCTAACTGTCTAACTCCCTGGGGTGAAAAAAGCGCACAATAGGTTAGGCCCGAAACGTCTACTGTACATGTGTTTGTTTTGGCACTGAGTTATTACCCTTTACAATTTTAAAACTGTCAATAGTCCATCAGCTCAAGATGGTCCTTGTTACGTATTTCTTGTTAGCCAGTTATTCTAAAAACCAGCGAAGTTCCTGTTACAGATTTTATTTTTGGCCTCATCTCATGTTACTACAGCAACCTGTTGCCGGTCACATTAGTTTGCTGAGTCACTACATCACGCTTGCTGGTATCGACAATGAATCGTAGGGTGTCAGGGCTATTCAGCAAAAAAACAATTCTTTAAGCTAAAGTATGATGAGTCGAAATGGAAAATCTCACCAAATTATTTTTAAATCAGTCCGTGTTGAAAAAAAAAAAGTGAACTCTACTTACATCACCGTATGTTCTCTTCTTGTAGCGGCGGCGAATAGCTTTCACATCGGTGAGGGTTGTAACCTGAAATAAGGTTTAATTTAAAACATGATTAAAGCAGTTTATAATTGAGAAAAACAATATCAGGAAAGGAGTGACGTCTAACACTCCACTTCCATACACTCTTTTTTATAAGAATATATTTTATGAGAATATCGAGGCTGAAATTAATAGCGAAATTTTAAGAACACTTTAAGAATAAACTCGAGACTGAGATTCGGAAAAGGATATAATTTTGTGTGTTGAAAAGCTGTAAATACAATACAATTCTATGCCTCAAACCAAACCTTATAAAATTCATCCTTTCTCTAAACGTCAACTAACAAAAAGCTTCAAAAACAGTACTAGCCGAATGTCGATGCTAATAACACTTCAGCAAGAAGTTATGTGCGACGTAACAGACTTTAATGCCTGCAGGCTGGCTTCAAAAGTACTTTTAAAAACACCATCCAAACACCAAATACACTCGAAAACAGAAATGTCGTAATCTATGATCTAAGAGTATTTACAAGAATATTTCAGCTCAAATCGGCAGAACAATAAGAATATTCAGCCTGGGCCGAAAAAACAATATTCTTATGAACGAAAAGGAGTATAGATGTTCAGAGTTTTCCTCCCTGTTGCTGCGAAATGCCACTTATTATTATTTTTCCCCATTTAGTCGCTTTGTAGCCAGTAAAAAGACTTCAACTCTCATTAAACTGCCTTTTTATTTTTTTAGGCAGAATCGCTTTGAGAAGTGGAAGGTTAGATGTAGCCTAAAGACCTTGTATATTTATTCGGCACCTTAAATTTCGGCCTCGCGATTGTCTCATCGCTCACCGTAGAGTGGTTTCACAGCATTACTCGTCGTAAACAAACTTTCAGACCATCTGGATTCGATAGTTCCCATAATAAAATTTTAAAAACCATTTAAATTGTAAAAATTTGATCTCACCAATCACAAAAAAACCGGCCCCAAAAATACTAACCCCTGCAAAATTTTCATCCTACGTACGTGTCTCGCAACTCACCGCGATTACAGTTTCAATGAAAACCAATATGATAAGGGCTTTGATGATCGGCTTACACTCCATTCCGTAGATGTTTGGTGTCTCTGTATAAATTGCTCCTCCACAGCTCGTTTTGAAGTGTTTCACATAATAAGAATACCCTGGTCGTTTATACACTCGGGTAAAAACAATTTACTTGCTACGTAAAGAGAACGCTGGTGGAAAGCACCACAGCTGCTCTGGGACAATAAAAATGTTGAGCTATATTGACAGACTTTTGACAGGTAGTCTAAGCGGCACAGTCAGATGTTTTAGTATCGCACATAAAGTTTCACAACTGAAAAAACACCATCAACACTTCCAGAGCGAAATGGTTTGAGCAAAAATAAGCAATTCACAAAATTCAACAAGGCTTTCTTCGCATTAAATGGAGACCATTGTCCTTCTAAACACAAAACACAAATAAGTAACGTTTACCCTATTCATGGTCGAAGTATTTTTGCTTTGGCAAACAAAGCTGAGAAAACAACCCTAACATTATGTATTCAGCCCTCTTAGACCAGGCACGTCTCCAACTACGTTCCGCTGGCCGTAGGTTTGTGGATTTCAAATCGCTCAAATCCTCGGCGATATGTCGAAATCATTAGGGCGTTAAAAGGGGGTTTTAGCAAACCACGACGGCGACGGCAACGAGAACGTCACCAAACAAAAGTTTAATCAGCAGAACAATGGTTCTGCACGTGCGTTTTGAATCTTTATACATTTCTTTGCCGTCCTCTGCAAAATAACAACGTGAAATGACAAAGTCGAACATATTTTGGAGAACGTGCACTGCAAGGGCAAATTTTTTGTGTCTTCCTCTGGAAGTGAACACTGTTATTACAAATTTAGCCTGAGCAGGTTTTTAGACCGATAGGCGTACTGAACAGATTTACACAGCTGCGACACTTGAGAATAAAATATAAATCCATTTTTTACAAGGTGTCGTCCGCGGCGTCGCCGTTGTCATTGCTAAAACTCCCTAAAAGTAAGCACGACGGCGACGCCGAGGACAACGTCGATTAAGAAATGATTTTATATTTTATCAACGAATTTTCCTGATGTTGTTTTTCTCGGTTTATCACTGTCAAAACTACTACGAAACTGAATCTGGGACACATCGATCGATAAATTTGAAATAAAAAATTAAAAAATTAGCCGTCGGGGTTCACGTTCTCCAGACAACGCAGAATTTGGTCATTTCACGTTGTTGTATTGCAGAGAACGGCAAAGAAATGTACCAAGAATTATAACGCAAGTGCACAGCCATTGTTCTGTTCATTAAACCTTTTGCTTAGCGACGTTCCCGTTGTCGCGGTTTTTTTTTTAAATCCTTATTATTTTAAACTAGAAAGAACAATATTCATTGAAACTTCTGAATCAAAAACTGTGTCTAAATTCACACACTCAGTTGTGCTGAATTAAGTAGTACGTTTACCGAATCTAAATATCAGTAACGTAGCTCTTTTTATTTTGATAGTCGTAAGCTACGATCTGCTTAAAATAACGAAAGTTTCTAAAAACGCATGGTCTTCGATGCGCCTTATCTCGAAAACGAGCACGGTAACGTCCAATCTTTTTTGTCTTTTTGGCAAAAGTTGTTCTTTGCCTTTCCGGCAAGGCAAGTTTGAAAAAAGATCTTTACGTGGGAACATTTAGGGCGCGAATGTCCTTAACTTAAACGATATCGTCAGAGAAAACCAGGCAAGACCAAAAGATCGAGGTCCGTCATTTATCTTCATCTATTCACAGTATAAGAGCTATCCGAAAATATTAACAACCGTGTCATTTGCCGAGTTAGGCGTTCGTTTTTTGTCGATAGATTACCACATCATGATTTTGGGCTCTCAAGCGGTCTAAAATGGCCGAAATTTGGGGCAACTTTGCTCGAGCTAAACGGCACTTGGAAGAACTCTTAGAAACTCTTATATTTTGCAATAATATTAATTTTTTTTCCCCAGTAGTTTACTGAGATATATTAGACGTCCTTATTGTGCCAAATATCGCCGCCGAATCATCAAAGAGCGTGACCCAAATAGCTATTTTCAGCACTGAGTTGTTTTACAAAAATGCGAGAGTTAACTTCCAAAGTAAAGCATTTTTTCGATAGCCTTGTACACTGCTACCAATATCTGGTTTCGTCAAAATTGGTATCTACAGGCAAATCGGAGTACTTAAACTGGCCAAAAACGTAAATTGAATTATAGTTTGCACGCAAGTGAGTTGCTCTGGAAGAGTTTCGTTTTTGACTCACATACGTGTAATCTGGTTCTACATGGTCGGTTTTGATTGCTTTTTATGGCGGTTTTTTGGTTTTCAAAGATATCTGAAGCGTTTCCGTTTGCTAGTAGGCCCCCAAAGCATTTCACATGACGCCACGGTAGTCATATTGGTGTTCCACAACAATGAAACGGCGGTCATGTTGGTGTACCAAACCAATCCTGTGGGAGTTCAACTCTTCTCTTACGGAAACACTTTCTTTTGTTCCAAAAAGATTTGCATGACTGCTGGCCACTTGAGTGAAAACACTCTATATTCCCTCCTCCTACATAATAGCCGTTTCCAGCTTCTGGATCTTACGTAGAACTTTTAAGCTCAAACGTGACATGAATATATTTGCTGAATTGCTGGAGGTTATTTGAACAGACCTCAACTAATTCCCAAAGACGGTGATTACAAGAGAGGAGAGACTGAGGGTGTCTAGAAACTTTCTACTGACGAGCAAATGGTGGTTCCGTCGTAAAAGGTAATTCCCTAACTGTGTATTTTCCATGACTTTTGAGACTGAAATTTGCGAAATTTTAAGAATATTTTAAGAATAAACCCGAGAGTGAGATTTTGAAAAAGATGTCATTTTGTGTGTTAAAAATTTGTCGATACAGCACAATTATATGTATACAATTCTTCCTTTCTCCGGCTAAACGGCTAAACGAGCCAAAAAAACAACAAAAACAGCACTAGCCGTACCTGTGTTTGATGCTAATAACAAAGTGTCATATCAGGCTTAATATTGCCTGTAGATTGACTCCAAAATGACTTCAGTGCCTTCTAGACACCATATACTTGCAATTGATACCCCGCTGGCCCAATACGTTCTAAAACGGAAAATTCATATGCTATAATCTAAGAATATTCACGAGAGTATTTTCAGCCTAAACTAGGCAGAAAAATAGGAATTTTCAGCCTGGGCCGTAAAAACAATATTCAGTTATAAAGAAAAGGAGTGTGCGCGGTCTGCATGCAGTTTGTGTCCACTTTTCACCCCCACACTTTTCTTTGGTTTTACAATTTTAAGGGAATACCTTCTCGGCAGACATGCGGTGTATAGTGTTAAGAGTTGACCAAGAGAGTGCTTGCAGATTTACAAGACCACTCAGCCCCACGGGCCGTAAGCCGCACTGACAAACTAAGAAACTAATCAATAATTAGGTTATGAGGTCGAGAGAGAGTTTTCATGAAGTGATATTAACTACAAATCGAGAGCGGATAATCTAATTGTTAAATAGAAAAGTTCTATCAGATAATTTCCAAATTTTCTCGGGAAGTTAATTATCCAGTTAATTTTCTCCAAATCTTCTTTCTAAACTTCGGAGAAAAGTGGGTGTCACCATTTTATAAATATATCACCTCAAGACACTTCACATTTACTGGTAATTGTTCGGCGATATAGAGGTTTCTAGATCTAGTAGAGTCGTTGAGACAAATACTGACAAAGCCTTCTTATTGTTTTAGCAATGCATAAAACCACTTACTGGTCAATTTGATAGATCAGCCAGTTGCTAAATACTAATAATTAAATATTGAGCAAATACTGAGTAGTAACTACACCCTTTTTTATAAGAATATTGTTTTTCCGGCCAAGGCTGAATATTTTTATTTTTCTGCCGATTTAAGGCTGAAAGTATTCCTATGAATATTCTTACATTATAATTATAGCGTATGAAATTTCTGTTTTCGAATGTATTTGGTGTCTGGATGCCGTTAAAGTAATATTGAAGCCCGCCTACAGACATTAAAGCTTGATATGAGGTACACAACATCTTACAGAAATGTCATTAGCATCGAAAATACGGGCTAAAGCTGTTTTTGTTGCCTCTTAGCTAGTTTTTCCGTTTAGAGAAAGGCAGAATTTTATACGGTTTAGTTACAAACGTGTAATTGTATTGAATTTACAAATTTTCAACAAACAAAATTATATTCTTTTCAAAGTTTCAGCCTCGGGTTTATTCTTGAAATATTCTTAAAATTCCGCAAATTTCAGCCTCGATATTTTATAAAACATATTCTTATAAATAGGAAATAGTGTAAGCAATAATACTGCAGCATTTGCATTGGTATACCAGCGGAAACAGTCCAAATTCTGTCACGTTTCTTTGAAGGGCCGGGATATGAAGTGCCTTGTTTTCTTCCTCATGCTCGCTTTGAGCCTGACGATGTCATTTCCTCAATGGCATGACCAGATGACCGGTACGTAGATAAATTAATTAATAAATAAATTATAATGTTTAGAGAGGAAGCCACTTCAGCCCTAGCTGGTTTTCATGCGGGCTGCTGAATTCTGATCGCCGGATTTGGAGATGTTAGTTTTTCAGGGGGGAGACAAACTGGATTACCTAGAGAAAGACCCTCAGAGAGGCGAGATCAGTTTATGCCTAGCATCCGTTTTCAAAGAACTTAAATCGGAAGGTACATTGTCTCTATTTTGCCAATCATCTCATACGCTAATATTTAAAACTGATTAAATATTCCTTGTTTCTAACGAGTTAGCCCCAGGCCGGTTAGCCTCTAACCAGAAATCGAAAACACTGACTATTTCTAGTTCTTTAAGAATGAATACGAGAGTAAATGTCGGTAACTAACTCGACTGTGCGCGAAAACTCCAAAATTCTTTCTCTCCGACTCTGGAGGAGTCAAACTGGCCATTGTGACATGTCTTTAATTGTGTTAGGGGTAAATGGCTATTGGCGTCCACTAACATACCTGAAAACCGCTAAAAATTCCTTTGAAAACATAAAACCCGTAATAAAAATCATTCAAAACTGAAAAACCGGTGAACATTTACTTCAACATCATCTTTTTAAGAGAGCGTTCTCAGATTAG